TCAGAACAAAACCAAGAAGGTTGTAAAAGGTAAAATTAAGGCTACCTCTTCCTATAACAAAACTGTGCAAACTGGAATGAAACTTTTGACTTCTGCTCAAGAGAAACCATTTAGGGATCAGCAGTGTGTATTCTGTGAGAAATCCCATGCTAGTGCTGAGTGCAGGAAGGCGGAAAATTTGACTTTAGATCAAAGGAAACGAATCCTTATAAAGCGAGGAGCTTGTTTTAAATGCTTAAAACTAAATCACATATCTTCTTCATGTAGGGCAAAGTGTAGTTGTACAGTTTGTGGCAAACCGCATCATGTTCTTCTCTGTAGGAATAGCCGAAAGGTATCTCTCAACAACACTTCTGTTGGTAAAGGTGACGGCACCTCCACAGTATGTGAACAGGCATTGGCTAATGTGTCATCAACGCTACGTGTCTTGCTACAGACTTTGGTTGTGATTCTGAGGGGAGAGGAAAGGTGTCTCAAAATCCGTGCAATTATTGATACTGCCTCTCAGAGGTCCTATATCTTGAAGAGCACTGCGGAAAGAGTCGGTTACCAACCAATGAGAAAGGAAAATCTGAAACATTCGTTGTTTGGAGGTTCTTGTACGAATATTTGCGAACACAATGTGTACAAGGTACACCTCTTGTGCATAGACGATAAATATCGTTGTAATTTTGATGTCTTGGACCAATCAACCATTTGTTTAACCATGCCCCCAGTTACACAGGAACTGTGTCAGGATGAATTGTCAAATATGGGGATATCCTTGAGCGATTGTCAAGGTCCCATCGAACTGCTCATAGGAGCAGATGTTGCTGGCAAACTGATGACGGGAGGACTCCAGAGACTCAAATCAGGATTAACCGCTATTGAAACGAAACTGGGTTAAACGATCTTAGGACGTGCAGAGGAGCATTCCGTACCAACTGAAGACTTGATTGTCACTTCGATGTGAATTGGAGATTTGCGAATTCCTGATATTTGGGAATTAGATATTCTTGAAATAAAGGACCCTGCCGAAAAACAATCAAAGGAGGAACTGGAACAAGCATCTATCGAACATTTTAAAAGGACACTGAAGAGAGACAGTGATGGTCGGTATATGGTATCCTTGCCTTGGATAGAAGGTTGCCAAGCTCTACCAAATAATAAGGTTCTAGCCGAGCAAGGATTAAGATCAACAGTGAAGACCTTACAAAATAACGGCCTGGTCGATGCCTATGAGGGAGTCTTCGAGCAATGGCTTGAAGAACAAATAATAGAAGAAGTGAAAAACGTTAAAGTGAAGGAGATTAACTGCCATTACCTTCCACATAGAGCTGTCATCAAAGAGCATTCCACGACGAAGATTCGTCCAGTCTTCGACGCCTCCGCTAAAGAAAGGGGCAACATCTCCTTAAATGATTGTATAGCAAAAGGTCCTAATTACTACATTGAACTAATACCCAGTATCCTGAATAAATTTCGATTATTTGAATACGGAGTAATAGCTGACATTCGAAAGGCTTTTTTGCAGATAGAGATAAGTGAAGCGGATCGCAACTTTCTCAGATTCTTGTGGTGGGAAGGTGGCAACCCTGGGAAATTGAAAGTTTTCAGACATCGCAGGGTAGTGTTTGGAGTAAACACAAGTCCTTTTCTCCTGGGAGCCACTCTAAATTATCACTTAAACCATGTTCCAGATCATCTGCAAGAAACAGCTTTAAAACTTAAGAAATTGATGTACGTTGATAACTGCGTTATGAGTTGTCAGTCCAAGGAGGAGCTGATGGATTTTATAAGGCAGTCTAGAGAAATCATGCGTTTAGCATGCTTTGATTTAAGAGGTTGGGTATACAATGGTATACAAACAGAGACGTCACCGGTTTGCGACGGCGACGAAAGGACATTGAGAACTTTGGAAATCCAGCACGATGAAATAGTCAGTGTGCTAGGATTGAATTGGGATATTTCAGAGGACGTTTTATNAAAACAAAACCAAGAAGGTTGTACAAGGTAAAATTAAGGCTACCTCTTCCTATAACAAAACTGTGCCAACTGGAATGGAACTTTTGACTTCTGCTCAAGAGAAACCATTTAGGGATCAGCAGTGTGTATTCTGTGAGAAATCCCATGCTAGTGCTGAGTGCAGGAAGGCGGAAAATTTGACTTTAGATCAAAGGAAACGAATCCTTATAAAGCAAGGAGCTTGTTTTAAATGCTTAAAACTGAATCACATATCTTCTTCATGTAGGGCAAAGTGTAATTGTACAGTTTGTGGCAAACCGCATCATGTTCTTCTCTGTAGGAATAGCCAAAAGGTATCTCTCAACAACACTTCTGTTGGTGAAGGTGACGACACCTCCACAGTATGTGAACAGGCATTGGCTAATGTGTCATCAACGCTACGTGTCTTGCTACAGACTTTGGTTGTGATTCTGAGGGAAGAGGAAAGGTGTCTCAAAATCCGTGCAATTATTGATACTGCCTCTCAGAGGTCCTATATCTTGAAGAGCACTGCAAAAAGAGTCGATTATCAACCAATGAGAAAAAAAAATCTGAAACATTCGTTGTTTGGAGGTTCTTGTACGGATATTTGCGAACACAATGTGTACAAGGTACACCTCTTGTGCATAGACGATAAATATCGTTTTAATTTTGATGTCTTGGACCAATCAACCATTTGTTTAACCATGCCCCCAGTTNACTCTTATGCCGCCTGTATCTATCTCAGACAGCAAAATGCTTGCAACGTAAAATGGCGGTTGATCCAGGCTCGTACTCGTGTTGCTCCTCTGAAATCCATATCGATTTCTAGGCTTGAACTTTTAGCCTGTTTATTAGGTGTCAGAATGATGAACTCTATTAGAGGGGACTTTCCACTTGAACGAATCTCAACTCTTTATTAGACTGATTCCATGAATGTTCTATATTCAATCAAGAATCAGGAATGTTGGACTACGTTTGTTATGAATAGAATAAATTGAATTAGATCTTTAAGTAGTCCAGATGACTGGAATCATGTTCCAGGGCATTTAAACCCCACAGACCTCCCATCACGGGGTTGTAATGTAAGAATTTTGGCCGAATCGCACTGGTGGGAGACACTTCAATTTCCAAGTTTGCTGGTAGAAGAATGGCCTCGGCAGAAAGAAATGCCAGACATGGAAATAGTGAGCTCTGAAAGGAAAAAATCTGTGATTTCTGCACTGGATGTAGAGAAAGCAGAAAGGTTTTATGAGAATTATTCCACTTACTGGAAAATATTACGAACAACAGCTTCGATATACCAGTTTGTCTTAAATCTCAAAAGAAAATCTGTTAGAATGTCTGGAGGGCTTACAGTAAAAGAAATAAGGCACACTGAATTAGTGTTATTGAAACTGATTCAAAGAGAAGAATTTCCAAAGGGAATAAATAATTGTTTGCGAAAATTACACCCGGTGATGGACAAGGAAGGCCTTTTGAGAGTAAAGACTCTCGTATTCAGAAGTAAAGATAGTGAAGATTTCCGTTTACCCATTATCTTGCCTGGGAATCACTATATTGTACAGAAATTAATAGAGTGGAAACACAAAGAATTAAACCATGCTGGTGTTCAAATCTTAATGAATCATCTGCATGAGAAATACTGGATACTAAGATGCAGAAAATATATCCGGCTTATCACATTGCGATGCTCTAGATGTCAAAGATTTGCTGTGTCTCCAGCCCACACTGAATCTCCGCCACTGCCTGTGGATCACATAAGAGATGCTGCGCCATTCGAGGTTATTGGCGTTGATCTAGCTGGTCCACTGTACTTGAGGGATAAGCAGAAGTGTTGGATTTTCCTGTATACCTGTGCAGTGTACAGGGCTGTGCATCTTGAGTTGTTGACGTCTCTGTCAACGAAGGCGTTCCTGCAAGCATTCAGACGATTTGTGGCAAGAAGAGGACGCCCTTCTGTTATTTATAGTGATAACGGTACAAATTTTGTTGGTGCCGCCAAAAGGCACCGACAAAATTTTCTCTGATGCTGAACTTACAAAGATTAAAGATGAAATTCTTGTTCAGGACATTAACTGGAAGTTCATTCCTCCAGCTTCGCCATGGTGGGGTGGCTGGTGGGAAAGGTTGGTAGGATGTGTAAAGCAGATTATGAAGAGAATTTTGACACGAGCTTCATTAACTTACGAAGAAATCTACACAATTATTTGTGAGGTAGAGGGTTTGATGAACTCTCGACCACTTACTACTCTCTCGGAAGATACTGAAGATTTAATTCCGTTGACTCCTAATATGTTTCTGCAAAGAGTAAAGAAAACTGGACTTCCCGACTTAGACCACATGGAAAAGGTCAATCTTGGGAAGGGATTCCGTTATTTATGCAAGTTGAGAAAAGATTTACGAAATAGATTTCGAACTGAGTACCTGGCGCAATTGCAAAACCCGAGGGGGATGGCCAAGGGCACTAAAATGATTGCTGTAGGAGATATCGTCTTGGTTGAGCATGATAACCAAAAACAATTTGATTGGCCTCTGGCGAAAGTTGTCAAGATCTATCCAGGTAAAAATGGATTGGTAAGAGTAGCCAAAATAAAAACACAGGTTGGATTTCTCATCCGTCCTGTTAAGAGATTGTACCCCTTGGAGATTTCTTCGGGGGATGATAAGCAAGATATGCGAAACAAATTTTGTGGCAAGACTGAAGACTCTGCTGAAAACAATCGCGAGGGGACCTGTGATCAGTCCCAAATGACCTCTGCCGCTGCAGGAACTGATGTGACTAACTCATCTGAGAATCATCGAGTCTCAAAAAGGGGCAGACCCCTAAAGACTCCCAATCAGTTAAATCTATAAACTGATTCGAACTCATTCAATTTATACTGTATGTATTTTGTCGGGTTTAAATTTAGATTTAAGTTTGATTTGATTTTGACTGACAAAACCAAAACTGGGAGGATGACCCGTCCCTCCTGCTAGAATGGCGGGCGGTTTTAATGGTTTTTTTATTGTTAATATGTAATGTTTAATAATATGATTGAAGAGGGTTGGCAACACCAAGACGCTGGTGTTACGTTCCAAAAAAGGTGCGAGAACATAACAGAATGCTCTTCCTATCGAATTATTGTATATAGTTGATTTGTTGGTTTTTTGTGTGAATAAAATCTAAAAGATGGACTTGGTGAACTTTTCTTGGTTGGAGATACGACGGGAACCTGGAGTACGAACAAGACGGTCAGGTGAGACTTACAAAAATTAATTAATCACACGAGACAAGAATCGGCCTGACGCGACACTACTAATTGATTACGTTTTACTTCTGCAGCTGTACGATTTCTTGTAATTGGGTCTTCTGCAGGTTCATTATAATCATCAAAAAATGCATCCTCTGTACAGTCAATATCACCTTGATTAATGCACAAATTGTGCAATATACATGATGTCATTACGACTTTTGACATTGATGAAATGTTTTCCATGTCAAGATATTTCAGACAACGAAATCGCCCTTTTAACAGACCTATGGTTTGTTCTACCACAACTCTGATAGAACTGTATCTTCTGTTAAAATTTTTCTGTTTTACAGTAAGATTACCATAATCTTTATATGGTACAATTAAAAATGTATCTAATGGATACGCTGAATCTGCAAGTAAATAATACTTATCTCCTAAATACCTTAAAGATTCACTTAAAAACATATTATAAATAGGGCTCTGCTGCCAAATCCGAGAATAATTGGCACTACCAGGCCAACCAACAAATGCATCAATAATTCGCATTTCAGAATCAAAAATTATTTGCAACAGGATAGAGTGCCTTCCTTTCCTGTTGTAATAACTCTGGCTGTCTTCCTTTGGAGCTTTTATATGTATGTGTGTTCCATCAACACACCTAATTACTCCAGGCAATGAAACAGAACGTAATTCTTCAAACTTATAAACTGTTCTTTCCAAGCTATCATTTGGCCATGTAATAAACTTGCCAATCATACGACACATTTTTTGACAGAAGTCTATAAAGATTGTGCACGCCTGACCTTTATTGACACCAAATCTGTCTTCAATACCTCTATATGATTCTTGGTTAGCAAGAGTCCAATTACTTAATAATACTTCCTTTGTAAAAGAAATAAGAGGTCGCCCTTTTTTTACTTTCATTTCTCTCTTTGAATTTAATAATTTCCTATAAAAAATAAACACATTTTCTATTAATTTCTAAATTAACTAATAATTTACCTTATTTTAAGTTAAAAACTTACTTCTGTTGAACTTTTTGTGAGTCTAAAATGAGATTTGAAGTCATCCATACAATATGAAAGTACGACCTCTTCAACGTAATTTTGTATATTCTGTCACTTAGATTTTTTACGTTCATTGGAAACAGTGATGCCAACCATTAAATTTTCATACCTCCTTTTTTTTATTCTCTTGTGATTCTTTAAATAATATGTTGCTTTCTAAAACTGAAATCAGTGAACAAGGGACAGTGTCCATTTTGCTTCAGCGACAACCGTTTTTAAAATGCTGTGCAGCGACATGCAGCGGTTGCTGCTCATGACGTCATTTACGCTACATTTTCGCTGCATAAAAAAGTGTAGCCTATCAGTCTGTCCACGTAACGGATGCCAAAAACAGTCACTAGAGAAGCCCTAGCAAAGATTTTAAATTAACAATAAATTATATTTGGTATAAATAATTATTATGTGCCATGCCTTATTATATGCCTTGATTAACATTGTGCTGCATGTTTACAACATCCCATGACTCAGAAGTCAGTAAACGTCGCGCATTGACTCACGGGAAATTTGTTGAAAAAATGGCGAATACATTTAAAATCAAGGATTAAAGCGAAGGTAAATAAACAAATTAAACCATTTTAAAGTATTTATAGAATGTTTAATAGATAGAAATATAGATCCATATGACGCGATTGGGACGATAAGATTTACCCTCCGAATGAAAGGGTTTGCAACCCCCCTTTGTGCAAACGATAAATGTCTAATGAACCATATCCCTATGCGCGACCCTTTCCGAGATATAGCCCTCTGAAAATTATTCTACGGGTCATGTGACCGCCTGTTTGCCACAATTTACCCCGCAAACAAGTGGGTCGGCGACCCTTGAGTATGGACAAGCACGCGTTAATTTTTTTTTCGCGCAGTAGACTCCCTTTTGACCACGATGTCATGTGACCGGAAATGACGTGGGCGAATTTTCACAAGCTTATATCTCGCAAAGGGTCGCGAGTAGGAGTATGGTTCCTTTGACTTTATTGTTCACATAGGGGGCTACAGTTTGGAGGGTTGCCACCCCTTCATTTGGAGGGTAAATCTTACTATTGGGACTTTAACGGAACTGTACAGCATATTGATAGGAACAAAAAAGTCAAAGGAACCGTGTTTTATGGAAATTTGTAAATAACGCCCACTAGGTGGGCGTCCCAGGCTACTAGTATTTAAATATTCGATTCCATTAAGATGAATAAAAAGAAGCAAACAGATAAAATTTTTACAATAAGATATTGAAAAATAAGATTGAAATCGCTTGTTAATTTATAATAATCTTATGAAAAGTTGTCACAACTGTAATCTAAAGGCAAATGTACTAGTGTTTAAAGTATATTTACGACTTGATTTTGAGTACATTTGAAATTTTGTTCACCGAGCAATGCTATATTTTATATTTACAAAATGTTTTTATCCATTATTTATCAATATTGCTGAATACAGATACAGAAATATATCGATATTCGCCGCTATATAAATGAAAACAATGCTCATTTATAAGAAAAAAAGTTGTAACGAAAGAGTAACAGATGTAGCAATTATTTTTAATTAGTTAAACTTATCCATTGATTGTCTTTTGATTTTATCGTTGCTTCTCGAGTATAAAGATATAAATGAACATTTTATTATTTACATTTTTTAAGTTAATCTGAAAACTGAATATTTAAAACTCATTTTACTCAGACATTTTATTAAATTGTATCAATGAAAATAAAGTAAGCTTTTAAGTATACACAAATAAATATTCGTTCGTTTACTTCGACAGAGAATAATTCTTCATTAATATTACATTTTCAGTTGACTTTATGATTGAAACAATTTACGTTTGTTTGTTTGTTTCTTTGTTTGTTAGAGTTTATTGGCGCAAGGGCCATACAGGCCAAGCTGCGCCATGGCAAATGGTATATATAAATAAATATATATATATAAAATGTTCAATATAAATATATGAATAAACTAATAAATAACAAAATCAATAACAAAACCACATATAACAGTATACATATAAAAATTAACAAGATATATACATAAATAAATAATCAACAAGGTATATATATAAACATAACCTAAATAAATAATTAAATATGTCTATAAATATTATTCACTTTCAAAAAGTTCAATAATTTGTCAAGATTTGGCCTCTGGCCCAAAATCTCTCTCAGACTTGCATTTCCAAAATGCTGTCTATGACTTTGATCAAAAGCAGTGCAGTTGCAAAGCATGTGTTTTACACTTAGAAAGCAGTTGCAATGCTCGCATACTGGCTGGTCTTCACCTTTCAAAAGGTATTGATGAGTCAACCGAGTATGCCCAATTCTCAAACGCGTAAGAATTACTTCAGATCTCCTGTCATACTGTTTATTGTGTGTCCAATTTTCTATATTTGGCTTGATCTCATGTAGTTTATTGTGGACTTGTGCATTCCACACGTTTTGCCATCTCTCTGCTAGT